TAGTTTACATCACGATTCTGCCGTTTCATGTTTATATTCATCATTGTTTGTTTGGAATGAGAGGCACCCAACGTAATTTTATTATACGAAAATTTAATTCAAGATCAAGAAGATATTTAATTTTAAATATTATATTGGTTAATTTAAAATTTATAAATTTATAATATTTTCAGTTATAATTAAAAGTTATATTATGATATTTCGATTTTACAACCGAAAATATTATGTAAAAATAATATTTTCGATTTCAACCTAAATTCTTAGTTACAATTTTTTTTTCTTAAATTTTATATTAATAAGTTGTATTTTAGAATTTCTGAGTATCGTACCTATTATTGTTTTAGGACAATGTAGGAAAGGATGTTGAAGTCAACTCACGAGATAACTTCTTTATGCTGATTTGTCCCAAAAATGAGTAATAAATATATAATTTTTTATTAAGTTAAAGTGATTATAAAGTAATATTTATTCTAAATATTTTTAATTATTTAATAATGAACATTCAATCACTCCACTGTAATTGTTGATGCTAAAACCTATGACCTCTAAGAATAATAACGTTTCTTTTAACTACAGAAATAAATTGGTTCGTACTAATAAACATATAATTATATTATATGATCAATGTTTGGTAGATTCTATAATATGATGTAATAATAAATTTACAACACTTTTGAGTCAAATTATGTCCATCACTTTTGCATTAATTATTAATAAAAGATCAAAAGTAAATCAACATAATATTTAGGGTAAAGTATAGTAAAGATCACTAAACTTTTTTAAAGCTTTCATTTAGGTCCCTCAACTTTTAAAACTTGTAATACAGTCTCTCAATATTTAGTTCGTTTGTAATATGGTCCCCGACGTAACCGTCGTTTGACGTCGTTACACTGTCGTCAGTACATTTTTAATATAGTTAGTGAACTTTTCAGGCATTTGCATTTAGGTCCCCCAACTTTTAAAACTTGCAACATAATCCTCAATTTCATTCTAAACCCCAAATTCCTTTTCAATCTCGAATTTCCTTTTTGGCTTCTCTCTTCTCATTTCCAGCTTAACTTTTCAGTCGGGGATATATGGGAAATTATAATCTAACTTTGAATTATGTGGAGGTGTTGACTTGAATAAGGGTCCATTGAGAGAATAACCGACCAAGGGACTATCGAGACCATCAACAATTCAAGGTGTAATGTAAGATACATGTCATCTCAGGTGAAGCATAGATGTTCGATGAAATGCTTGTGAGAAAAAAATGGGGTTAGAAATACAGAGTTGACAAATGCTACTAAGATGAACTAAGTATCATTGTTGAAAATCACTAACAAAGTTGAAATTGTTTTGTATAAATGGCATATAATAATTTCTTCGTTTAATCCTCGTGGTTAAAGATTTTCCAACAGATGATCAAATATAATGAAATCACAAACAGCGCATTCACCTCTCAATCTCTTTTGTAACTCGAAAGGCATCATGACAGGGTAAAGTAGTTGCTCCAAATATATTATCTTGTCATGATGCCTTTCGAGTTACGTGCATGCAGAATTGTCTTCTAAAGCTATAATTAAATACAATTCAACTGTAAAATTTCCATAACATATAAAAAATCCAATTCGTTCACGATATATTAGTTCCATAATCAACATGAACTTATTAAAAAGAATACGAGCTCGCTGGACGCCGAAAACCACAGGACGGATCAATACAATTCCCAGTAAACTAATACCAGCAGTCTCTCGAATTGAGCCTGGCGATTTCACTATGCCGATACTCACAACCAATTCCCTGATTTAAACAAAAACCAAACAAGAAGATAAAAAAAAATTAGGCTAGGACCCTATTTCACTTCTATTCTGATGGACTAAATATCTTTTATAAGGAGTACTAAAAGTTTTGATTAAGAAAAAAGAAAGAAAATTATAAGGTTTTGGTTCAAAACTAACACTGAATATCCAGTAAACTAGTACCAGCAGTCTCTCGGATTGAGCCTGGCGATTTCACTATGCCGATACTCACAACCAATTCCCTGATTTAAAGAAAAACCAAACAAGAAGATCAAAAAAATTAGGCTAGGACCCTATTTCACTTCTATTCTGATGGACTGAATATCTTTCACAAGGAGTACTAAAAGTTTTGATTAAGAAAAAAGAAAGAAAATTAGAAGGTTTTGGTTCAAAACTAACACTGAATATCCAGATCATTGACATGTAGTTCCAGAAACATAAAATATTCAACAAAAAACACACAATGCGAGCTGAAAATGGGAAAGTGCGAAAGAGGAAAAGTTTACTTCCAGATAGCCCAAAAGAGAAAATAAATACCTTCTTGCAAGTAAGGAGAAAGGCTAAGAAATAAACGCAATCGGTGTTGCATTTCAATAATTCTTCCTCCACTTTTTCTTTGTAAATAAAAAGTTGAAAGACATGGCACTACTTGGGTTTACAATTTTACATGGTGGAAAATTGAAGAACAAAAACCAAAAGAGAGTGCATATGAGCGAAAGAGACTGAGATGTGAATGTGTTGTTTGGGATTTCATTATATTTGATCATCTATTGAAAAATCTTTAACCACAAGGATTAAACGAATAAATAATTATATATCATTTATACAAAATAATTCCAGCTTTGTTGGTGACTTTCAACAATGATACTTAGTTCATCTTAGTATTATTTTTCAACTCTGCATTTCTAACCACATTCTCTTCTCACAAGCATTTTATCGAACATCTATGCTTCACCTAAGATGACATGTATCTAACATTACACCTTGAATCGCTGATGGTCCCGATAGTCTCTTGGTCGGGTCTTCTTTCAATGGATCCTTATTCAAGTAAACACCTCCACATAATTCAAAGTTAGATTAGAATTTTCCATGCATCTCCGACTGAAAAGCTACGCTGAAAATGAGAAGAGAGAAAAGAGAAGCGAAAAAGGAAATTCGAGATCGAAAAGGAATTTGGGGTTTATAATGAAATTGAGGATTGTGTTGTAAGTTTTAAAAGTTGGGAGACCTAAATGCAAGCGCCTGAAATGTTCAGTGACCATATTGCAAATGTACTAACAGCAGTGTAACGGTGTCAAACAGTCGGTTACATCGGGGACCATATTGCAAACGAACTAAATGTTAGGGGATTTTATTACAAGTTTTAAAAATTGAGGGACCTAAATGAAAGCTTTAGAAAAGTTCAGTGACCATTACTATACTTTACCCTAATATTTAATACAAACTTCTCATGTTACTTCTGTTAATGCATGTAATATTATCCTTTTATTTTGTAATATTCTTATCTTTTATTGATTTTTTTAATTTGAATTCATTATTATTTAAAAAATTTATTAATAAAAATATTTTTTTTTAAAATTTAACCAATTAGTTTTGAACTATATATTTTTTAAAAGTTAATTTTTTAAAATATTTAAAATAACCACGGTCAAAGTTTAAAATTTTAATTTTTAAAAAGTCAATAATGGACAAATTTAATGGAACGGAGATAGTATGAAATAATCTTATGTAAGTGATTTTACTAACTTTTTTATTCACTCTTGGACTAGTTCTATTAATGAAAGAAAATACATTTTAGATAATTTAGATTCGAGCAACATAATATGTGTACGTGAGTTTAAATCTAAATCGTTGATTTCATTTCCTCCCAATCAAATCCAAAACCCAGCACAAGTTTAAAGCAGCAAGCACCAGACCGTCTTAACAGGAACGGAGCTAAGATATTAGTTTAAGGGAACAAAGTATAATTAACTATAAAAATAGTGGGATAACATAAAAAAATAAGAGATAAAATCAAAATTAACTAAAATTAAGAGATAAAAATTGATATTTCCCCATACATTTTTTAAATATAAAAAAGGGGCAATGCCCCTGAGACGAGACGAAGCATAGCTTCATGAATCCTCTACCCCACCCCACCCGACCAGAGAACAATGAATCTTCCACCTGATATTCGACTCAACCGACTAAAACAAGATTCCATCTGAACCGATATATAACTTAAAAATTCAACCCGACCCAATTCGACCCGAAATAATAAAAAATATTATTTTTATTCAATAAAAACAGCGACTTAATTGAAAAATAATATATAGAGAGGTATTATTGTAAGTATTCCTAAATATATAAGGTAAAATTATATTTTTTCGGGTCGGGTCGGGTATTTTTCACCCTAAACTCAAACTCGACCCGAACATCACATTAAAAAAACCCGACCCGACCCGATCGGGTCGGGTCGGAACTCGTCAGATTCGGGTCTCATGCCCATCTCTAGCTTCAATATATCTAATGATATATTTTAATTTTCTGTTATTAAAAATTTAGCAATGATAAGATAATATTATATCAACATTGAAAAATAATTACAAATTATCGTATCAGTATTAGTGTTGATTTTTTAAAATAGATGACCAAAATTGAACCAAAACATAAGATTAAGTACAACTTTAAAAAAATAAACAAAGAATCAACTAGAAACTAGATAAGAGATGAATGATCAAATAGATAATTTACTCTCAATCCAAAACAATAATCAATTTATCTCACCTTAACATTGAATGCCAATTTCAGTGTCTTTTACTTCAACTCAACTAGTAACAGCTCTACTTTTTTGTTCTATTTTCATACATAAACTTTATTTTTTTTCAAAATGATAGATAACATTTAGTTTATATTTTATTTTAATATCTCATCGTTAAAAATTTAACGGTGATTTTACGTGTCATGATTGAAAAAATAAGAAATCCATGTCAGCAATTCTGTTATTTTTTAATGGCAGGATATCAAATTAAAACCTAAAGTAAATGTTAGGCATCGTTTTGAGAAAAATACAATTTTGATACCAAAATGGAATAAAAGTAATAGTTTGGGCACTAAACCAACAGTTTACCTTTTTTCTTTGGTTTCTCGTATCTGCCGCCATTTTTAATAGGAACTATCCCCTGACGCTGATGTCAATGCTATAAAGGACAATAAAACACAGATTAAACAATAAAAAACATTAAATGCAATTGTAAGGAAACAACCATTTCTTGTTCTTCTTCCTCAATCGCCGCCGCCGCACACTGCGGCTCCGACTCCCATTTTTCTGCTCGGGAACTTGATCCGCCCGCTGTTGTCTCAGCTGATAGCCCTTGGTTTTGTCCTGCTTCGAACCCCCTTCACACGCCACTGCCTCAAGATCGCCGTATTCCGGACCGGGGTTTGAACGAGTCTTCGTCCGATTCCAAGATCCGATATTCTCCGGTCAGTGTGTCAACCGTCATGGACTTCACAACGATCTCCAACGGTCACTCTCCGTCGAGTTTCACCAAGTTCAACTCCGCCCTCACGGCTGGTCTTTTAAACCCGCATTCCCCACCGCCGCCTCCGTCGGATAAGACCCGATCCAGCCCGTCCCTTTTCGAGATGATGGCTAACGAGCCCGATGTCCTCCCAAGAACCCAAAACCAAGGTCAGATCCAAGTATCCATTTCAGCTCCCAGACAAAATCAACCCCCGCCGGTGATCGATAAGCAGGCATTGACCATGCAACGGATTTCGGGGCTTCTGTCGACCCGGAGCCCCGGAAACCAGTTTAACGACCCGTATTCAGGTGATATAAAGCTGACGTTGAGTTCCAAGGATGGAATAACCGTGTCCATGAACTTGCACCGGCAAATAGTGGTGGCTCACAGCAGGTTCTTTGCAGTCAAGTTATCTGATCAATGGGCAAAACAGCAGAAAAATGGATCGGCTGGACCGTACATTGTGGAAATATCAGACTGTGATGATGTGGAGGTTTATATAGAGACCTTGAAATTGATGTACTGCAAGGATTTGAGGAAGAAGCTACTCGGAGAGGACGTTTCTAAGGTTCTTGGCATTTTGAAGGTAAAGTTTTAGCCTTCACTTCTTTTCCGTGTTTTGAAATATATGATATATTTGGCTGCTTGAATTATTAGTCTCCAATGATTACAAGATAATTTCTGGTTAAAAGACTCTTAAACATCTGGTAATGAATGTTCAAATAATCCTGTAGATATCGTACTCGAATCCAGGACTTGTAGGATAACAATCATAATCATCTATTTAACCACGGAGGTTTCGTGTTTGAGCATTTTGTAAGGCTGGGTTAGGGGGTTTTCCTAGTATTCTTTTAAGTGTTGAAGTGGCTGTTCTTGTGTTCTCCCCCTCCCCCTGTCAGGTTTCAGCGGCTATTGGATTTGATGCCGGAGTCCTATCTTGTTTGGAGTACTTAGAAGCCGCCCCTTGGGACGAGGATGAAGAAGAGAAAGTGGCTTCTCTATTGGGGGAGCTCCGCCTTGAAAATGTTGGAGCAGGGGAAGTTTTGAAGAGGGTTTCTGTTGAAGTTACTAATGGAACTGATGAGGGTGGGGATAATGAAGAAGTTCTTCTCAAGCTTTTACACATTGTTCTCGAAGGCAAAGACGAGAAGGCGAGGCAGGGAATGAAAGGATTGATCTTGAAGATGCTTCGCGAGAATTCATCGCAGAACGATCTACGGAAAGAGTCTTTGTATTCAGCTTCCGATGGCTGTTTGGAGCATCTTCGAAACCATTTCCTCCAAGCAGGTTCGTCGGATTTAACCGATGCGGGTCAGATTGCAAGACAAGCAGACAATTTGCATTGGATTCTTGACATTTTGATTGATAGGCAGATTGCCGAGGATTTTCTAAACTCATGGGCATCTCAATCTGAACTATCGAATGCTCATTCTAAAGTTCCAGCTGTTCATCGGTACGAGGTTAGCCGAGTGACTGCTAGGCTGTTTGTGGGAATCGGAAAGGGGCAGTTATTGGCATCAAAGGAAGTAAGGTGCTTGCTTTTGCAAACATGGCTGGTGCCATTTTACAATGATTTCGGGTGGATGAGGAGGGCATCCAGAAGCCTCGATCGGCATTCAATCGAGCACGGTCTAAGTAACACCATTCTCACTTTGCCTCTCGCTTGGCAACGGGACATTCTGCTTGCTTGGTTCAATAGATTCTTGAACGCGGGTGATGATTGTCCTAACATTCAAAGAGCGTTCGAAATTTGGTGGAGGAGGGCTTTCCAGAGACGCGGCGTCGAACAAGAACTGCCGAGGGAACCACACGTTACACCTGCAACCATTCAGAATTCATAAAGCTGCCGGTTTTCACGGTGCAGAAACCGATGGTTCTTCTTTTGTTCCTACACCAATGGCTCATTTTTTATGTTGTCTCTTTAACTGACATATCTGATTTGGTTTTGTATTGGGAGAGTCCTATATGTGAACTTAGTTCATTAGAATTCAACCACCGGGTACATTTTTGTTCGGCTTGATCTTTACACGCCTTAGATCAATGGATTAAATCTGTTTTTCTTAATAATTTCTGAAAACCAGAAGCTCCTGCTAGGGCAGCCTTAAGTTTTATCCGAAAACTCGGAAAAATTTATCAATCAAATCTAGGATTGAATTTGGAATATACAGACACTATAGTACATCAGCAAGAAAGAAAAAATAAGAGAAAATTCATATGCCCTTCCAAAAATGAAAGAGTATGTTGGCCTGCATGTACATCAGTTGGAAGAATCCGGGTAGAATTAAAAGAATCAATTCTGAGAGAAATCTTTGATGTCCACAATATGGCAAAATTCACACTCCAAATGCAAAAAAGATTGGTGCCGGTGTAAATCCGGTCAGTCGAATCAGACAGATGCGCATACCGAACCTGACAAATAAGGCAGACGATTATATGAATATGATGTACACTATCCCTATAAATAGATGCTAGGGATTAGGGTTGGATTGAGAAGTTTTCTTTCTCCAGATACTCTTGTATTCTTCTTCCTTCCATATTAGTGAAAACTCTCTTCTTATGCCCGTGGTTAGGGTTTTCCACGTTAAATCTTGGTGTTTATTCTATTGGACGATCATTATGCACGTCATTATCTTCTAACAGCTAGATTAGAAAGAACGAGGATGATCTTTGTTCCGAATGTGTGTTGCATGATGCAGGCGTGGAAACATCAAATATGTAATAGCACATAGCAAGCATGCATCTTTCGTGTATGCTAAAATAGAGGAAGACAAACCTGTAGACCAGCTGTTGCAGCAAAATTTCCCCTCGTTAAGATGAGTGACATCAAGCCCGATAAACCAGGACCCTGCACTCACATCATCATGTGCATATACCCGAAGAATAGGTCTGCAAAACGAGAATTTTTTGTCAACTCATTGCAATCTAAAGGCCAGGGTGAAAGGTCTTAAAACTTACTTATTAATCGAGATGAACTGCGCTAAAGCTCGTGAAATGGCATATATTTCACCTGAAGCATGGCGAAAGTATCTGCACCATACGCAAGAATTTCAAGTTGGAAAAAGAACCAGAATACTTAGCACATGATTGATGATATAAGTACCCTATGATAAGTTTCAAGGACTAAATTCTGATCATTTGACCTGTTGTCATTGTACGTTTAAAAACCTTAGATTTAACATACTTGCTATAAGACAGGACTTTTAAATCATTACTGAACTTCTGTTAAGTGTGGAAGATCAAAAAGAAAACGGATCGTTGCTACTCACGATTTAGCGTCGCCAAATTTCCACCAATCAGGTTCATACCATTTGTGGTTCCTATAATTTGTAAAAGAACATAAGTAGAAGGAAACATACATCTTAAGAAAAGGAAAGTTGAGAAGGAGATGATCTCAGTCGATGTACATAAGTAATCATCAGGTAAAACAGTTACACTTACGGTTCAGAGAAAACTTCTCCTGATTTCATACACCCCATATAAACACGAGGCTTATCCAAATGTGCAGAAAGTTTTGCTCCTAGAGCATCTGTATAAAATCAAAAGACCAGCTATCAATAATTCAGTATTATTATATCTGTAAAGGCTGACAAGAATTATGTAGTTCCATAACAGTATGCTTTCAGTTAACCAAGAACACTTGCACCACAACACTTTTAGCCAATCATCACTGTCCGTCATTTTTTCTGCAACAATAGTTCATACTTATGACTAGAAACTTCAGATATTATTAAAACTGGTTTCACTCAGAACAATTTTGGGGGGGATTTAAATCTTTTTGCAATTGATATTAGGATATATTACAGGAGGAAATTCTAGAAGATGACGGAAAAATTAAACTTCCATGTCAAGAAATCATGTAGTTAGTACCTAAAACATTACCTAATGAACTAACAAGGATTACATACCAATATTAACATAAACATCATCATTGACCTTAACATAGAACTCTGCATCCCAGCTCTCTACAGCATGAGCAAAGAAAAACTTTATCTTCTTTGAACGTCCTTCAGGTGCCTCCAGTTCATCCTGTCAAGACACAGGGGAAAATGAAATTTGCCACTACCTGATCTATTCCTTTCAAACATGTTAATTCAACAGGAATAACATACATAACACATGAATCAAGTCACAGTGGTTTTGCAGAAAATATGCATGCATATATACCTTAAAAGTTAGAATGAAGGATATCATAAAGTTATAATTTTTTAAGCTAGTTCACAATAACTTCTAAGAGAGATGATTACATTCAGAGAATCCGATATAAGCTTAAAATTCATGTATTTAAAGTCAAAACCTCACTAGGTATGCATAAAATATATTCATATTGAAGGTCGGCATACCAGAATAATGAAGTCATTAGTCTGGCTGTTTTCATCTCTGATCTCCCTGTCTAAACTATCTTCACGATTTGCACTGCCAGTAATATAAAATTCAATAAACAGAGATGGAAAAGAAATACTTGATAAGGGGAACCAAATAGAAACCTTTTTCCTATTACGAATCGCACAACGATTTGCTTCTCTTCTTCAAGTTTCTTCAAAGCTGCACCTGAACATATTATATTTTTAGTTTAATACTTTTTAGAGGAAATGATAATTAGGTAGCAAGAAATTTACAAAATTGATGAATAACTTAATGGATGGAAATAAATTGGAATCCATATATCATCGACTATAATCGAGAAGGAAAGCATTCTTTCAAGATCATTAAGAGTGAACCATGTTAAACATAAATTAGCATATGTTCTCATCTGCCCAAGTTTCTATCTTTGTGACACATTTGGAGCAATTGATGTTAAGCAGCCGTCTCAACTTACACAAAAGAATAATATTCTTTAATTATTTGGCCTTTTTGTTAAAAACTAAAGCAATCTTGCTTCCAATTTACAATGCATATAGGTAAATAAGCCTGATTGCCGAATTCTAGTTTATAGAAAAACAGAGTCGATAGCTCCATGTAAGCATAAATTAGCAGTTAATAAGTTCAATAAGTTAGCGTGCAACTTATTAGCTGTTGGACGACAACAAACCCCTATGTGTCACTCATAGAGCATGCATTCTAATGCCACTTAACCCCAATAGATTGATGGATAGCTAAATGCATGTATCCTATAGCCAATGCTATTACATACAAGAAGACTGACTAAATAAAAAGCACTTGAAGTGTACCGCACTAGCATGTTTCATTGTTTTAATTCATCCTTATAACACGATATAAGATAAAACTTGTCAAGAGAAAATGATTAATTACCAGATTGCATCCATGCTTTCCGAATTGCATCTCTGTTTTTCTTTCGCCCAAATGTTGTGATGATGCCAATAACAGCTAAAAGCCTTTTCTTGGGACGAGTATCATCATTTCCCAAATGCTCCTTTGAAACAAAACCTTCTTGCTTAGCAGCAGCTAGATCCTTCTCGATGGCTGATAACTTTTTTAGTTGTTCCCTAGAATTATCATGCTTTAGCAAATTAGACTCGATACACAGTAATCAAAACCATATAATATGCTGTAAAACCCAAAAAGAAAAAGGGGGGTAGGCTTACTTGCAGGCTACAATTTTTAATGTCTCAGAAACAGATACAGAAGAATGACCCTGAAAAAAGATTAAAAATTAAACGCCATTGAAATCCAACTGATTTGTACCCAAAACAGATCATCTTCAAATCTTAGAAATCATCATTATAAATTAAAAAAAAACCTAAAAAATAATGACCAACAATAAATTTAAAGCGTAAATAGCTAGTTTCATAAACAAATGAAGCAGGAAAATGAAGATCATCTACAAACTCCAGAAACTCTTATTGATGGGCAAAATTTTTGAAGAAAAATTGGCTAAGAAACAAAACTAACCAGATGTATTTTAATTTGATGGAAAATTTTGAAAGAAAATAAAAACGAGAAAAGAAAATCACCTGACCAGTTCTCCTATCAAGTTCTTTAATTAAATAGACTCTACTCTCTGCCTCCTGCCACATCCTGCATTTAAATACCACAATCAGAAAAAAATTTCTCAATAAACCCATGAAGAAAAAACCGAAAGAGGAACGAAAAGCAACCGGCCGGCAACGTAAACCGTAGCCATGGTAGCGAACATGGCGAGAACCAAAGCAGAAATTCTAGAACGAAAAGCAGAGCCACCACCAGAGTTAGATAGCCGGTTACTCGATCCCCGGCTACGCATTTTCGCTTCCTCCTTTTCCACAAACTTCGATATATGAAAAAGAATTCAATGAAGAAAAATAACAGTTCTATTTTTCCCCTCGAATTCAAGAAGCAGATCTGCAGAAATCAAACGGATGAAAATGAAGAAGAAGAAGAAGAACGTAATCTTGAATTTGAATCTGGATTTGAAGTATGCTTTATATATAATAAAAACCAAATTTACTGCCTTCTTTCCATTTATTTACCATTTACAAAACGCTAAATAATTAATTAATAATATTCAATCGAAAAGTCCGATGGATTTTCTCTCTCTCTTTCTGTTCTTTTCCTTTATGATTAATTGATGGTTTAACTCTGTTTCCAGTCCCTGTATGCTTCAGAATTTTGAAATTCAGTCCTTACTTTTAGTTCTACGAATTTAATTCTATATTTTTCTGATTTAAAAATTAAAGTCGAAAACATACAGAGGCACGAACCGTGCGACCTTAGCGGCAAAGAAAATGTTATTCTTCCGAGTTCGAGCATCAGAAATGATTGGGATGTGAGTATTCAATGTCAATTGATTGAAAATTATCTTTAAACCGATAATATTTTATATTTAACCCAAATTAATAAAAAAATATTTAATAGATATTTCAAATTAAATAAAAATTAATAGAGACTCGAGCTAAAGGTTAGTTTATCATTGAAAAGTAACTTGAGAAAGTTTTTTTAAGTTTAATTTTAAATTTAAATGTCTAATATTATTATAAAAATATGATTTTTGAAGAGATAAATAAATATTTTAGATATAATACTATAAATTTAAATATATATATATATATAATTTTAAGTTTGATGATTTTTTTATAGAATTCGATCTAAATTAATCAAATAGTAGAACTCGCATAACTCAATTTTTTTAGTAATTAACGGATTGGTTTTCAAATTTGAGTCGAATCCCACAACTCAATGTGACATATGTATTTCACATATGAAAAAAATATGAAGAAATATATATATATATTGTATATAATTATAGAAAATCATTTAAATTGTAATCAATTAATATACAATATTATAAATATTTACACAAAAACTGTAATAATCCCAAATCTCGAGTCAATATTTTAGCGTTGACCTAAGTCATGAATTGTTCAATTAGCTCGTGTAACTAATTTGTTAAGTAAAGTTTGGGCCCAATAGGCATTGATAAAGGAGGATTTTGAGGGGTTTTTTTAAAAAAGGACAAATCGGTAAATTATTTGGAAAAATAAAGTAAGTAGAAATTTATTTTAGGATTTACAATATTTTTTACGGTGTTCATGAAACTCGTTATCTCAAGGTGACGAGTTTCAATAAAAAAATATTTTTCTTCAAACTTGTTATGCCAATGTGACAAGTTTGGATAAATTATAATTTTTTTATTAAACTTTATCATATTGTGATAAAAAAATTAAATAAAAAATATTTTTAATTGAAACTCGTCACCTAACATGACGAGTTCCAAGTCATTGTAGTAAATACTATAGATCCCTAAATAAACTTCTATTTGTCCTATTAAGCTAATTAATTAAATTGTTTGTCCTATTAGGGAAAAAAACAGAGTTTGATCTGAGATGAAATATGAAAGGACCAATTAGGTAATTAACCCACTGAAATATTGTGGCTGATTTTTCATAGAAATTGTTAATTTGTCCTTCTACCCGTTTTTAAGGAAATGATTACAGCCTTAATATACGGTTAAAAAAAGACACAATCGATTTTTTATTATTTAATTAATAAAACCGATAAAAAATTATCGAAAGCATTATTATTTCTATCGGTTTTATTATTATTATTATGCATTTTACCGATTTTGTTAACAAAATCGATAAAGCGCTACCGATTTTATTATTTTTGGACACTTTATCGGAAATATTAAAAAACATTGATGTTTTAGGTAAAAATAATAACGTTTTAGATATTTTTTACCGATTTTATTATTTAAATAATAACAAAACCGATAACGTCTTTTTTAACTGTATATTACAGGTGCCGCACTATAAAACTTCCTCCGATTCTAGGCAATTGGGGTTTATAATTAAACTGAATCAAATCATATTATTCACAGCAATTGATCCATGAGCTACTTTATAGAACCAGAACATGCAACTTTTGTGAATCCATGAATTCAAATGTATACATTCCTCTTGGGGGGGGGGGTGCCTTGTTGAAAAAATATATATAAATAAATATATACATCCAAAATTATGTTAATTAGCAAAAGCAAGACAAATAACTAAGAGACAAATGTTAAGGGCACCTATGTACCACAAAAAAGAATGATCTTTGAATTAAATCCCAGATAAATTTCAAGCAACTTGCCTTTTGCTAATATATATGCTACTAGTACTGAAATTATCCCTTGTATTGACTCTTCAACTTCAGTTATCAATGAACGATTTGTGGTCAGATGTCACCACCGGCAAGCATCTCCGAGCTGTGGTGATGTACGAGGTACCACCGTCCGCTATGAAACTCAAAGACGTTAGTCATATTAAAGGCCCCGTTATCCATGTCAACATAGGTTTTCATAGTAACCCAAGCCATGTCCTTTAATACCCGCGCTCGAACATCTCTAACCTGAAAATCAGCACCTTGCTCCCAGTTAAATGCATCCTGCCAACTCCGTATTACAACATTATACCTGCATTGTGAAACAAAAATGGCTCCCAAGGTTAATCGAATATATTATCTTCGTCTATTCTGCAATCCTATTTACATGTAGCTGCTTCTAACAAAGGTATCCTCGACATATATTATACATAAAATATCTCAAATCAGTGATTCCCATATCTTACAAGTACCATGCCTTTTGCTTTAAACATGAATATGTCTAGCTTGTTAAGACAAAAGTATTAGTATTCCAAGAGTGGAAATCACAACGTTAAAAATAGCAGAAAGTCGTAAAAGTCTTCGCATGTTGAAACAGAAGACTCATTCGACTTGCATGTCTTAAATCAGTACTTTTCACAACAAACAAGGATCATGCCTTTTGTTTCAAACATGAACATCAATCTTGTAATAAGCATTTTTTTTCTCAGTTTAAATTGCACAATTATGTTAAGGCTACAACATTGTTATTCCAAGTGCGGAAATAACTATGTTCGAATAGCAAAACATTTGTAAAACCTTCCAACGTCAACACCAAGGACTCAATCCATTTGCATTGAGATCATACGAACAACCTATAAACATCTTACAAATTAAAAGCTCTTTTTTATCTCCAAACATTTTAGGAGTCATCACTGCATTTTCTGAAACGCCTTTACACATGCATCCATAGACAAGGTCCTCATTTGTCTCGCGTGAAATAAACTATGGTACATTACAATCTATATATAGCTAGGAAAGCATGTCCATGTAACTTAATCCTATCATAAGGTGAAAAGATCTACAAGAAATCGTTCGAGAAATAAGAGAACTAAAATGACACCAGATACTTAATTGGGCTGAATTCATTGTTTCCACTGCAGGATGAAAAATTATAGAAATTACTATAAGAACAAAAAGTAGTAAACAGCATCTCCAGAGAATGAAGTAAGCATTGTATTCATACCCTGAAAAAAGTAGCCCTGACGCATGAACGCACTTTACATAATCTGCATTCAGCCAAAAACGACTCATGGCCGAAAGAGACCTATCTTTGATGATGTTAAAGAATCCCGTATTAACGTTCACTATGGCTCTCGTAGCTGCATAGTATGCCTTCCACCCGTTAACAGGCGTTACCGAATCTTGCTCCATTGTAAAATCCTAACAAACGAAAGAGTAAGGCAGAAAATTTATACCTGAACCAACCACAATTGAGGAAGATATAAACAATCAACTTTAAAAGAAACATGGTAGTAAAAATGGTTTAACTAAAGAACATGAACGTGAAGGATAAAAACAAAATGCAATCACCAGCTTACGTAAAAGAATGAGTCCAAAGGTTGAAATTTTAAAAGCTCGTTTTCTAAAGCCTATATAAGCTGATGACTGATCTCAAACCACAAAGAAACAAAACTGCATATGGCATGAAACAAATACAGTACAAGGAGCCAAGGAAAATTTTTACTAGTTAAATGTGTTATCTTAATTACAAAGATTAAGAGAAATTAAACATAGTTCATGAAAATTAATATTCAATAAAAAATGGGGAAATTAAGTACCTTGTGATAAAGCGCTTTCCAGGCATTATCATCGTTAGCAGCCTTTCTCATCAGCGAATTAGTCATGGAAAGCCGGCAAAGGCTCGGATAATCCAAATAACTAAGCGCGTGCGTTGTAATCTCAGGCACTAACTGCTCCATCATCGACACCTTTGAAACATCCGCCATCACCATATCCTCCTCCGCCGGATCAACACTGCCACCGTTCAGGAGCGCCGCCGAATCGGAAGTATAGCTGCAGGAGGACGAAGGTCGCGCTTCTCTGGCTTGATTTTCACCGGAAAAGGTAGATTTGTGGGATCTCTTGAAGAATGAACGGACGGCAAGGAACGAAAGGAGAGTGATGATTATGGTAATGATCAACGGCAGGGATTGGAGAGCGACGGAGAGGCTATAGGCAATCTTCATTCACATGACATTAAATCTTCGCCGTACATTAAATAAAACCCTAGAAATCTCAATTACAGAAAGGGAAATTAATTAAAAAAAATTGTTTTTGCCCTTTAACAAAAGATAAAAAGGGAATCTTCGCCATTAAATCTCCATCCGTACGACATTAAATCTTTGCCGTACATTCAAATCTTCGTTGCAGAAGAGAAAACCGAGTCTCGTAATAGTAACCGAGTGAAAGAAGAACTCACACCAGAAAAATAGATCACTCTTGGGGACCAGTTTTGTTTGCAGTTATGAATTTCCATTTCTACGAAGTTTTTTTAGGGTAAACTACTACACATGATACCGTCAAATTTTAGACATTGCATCGTTTATGCTGTTGAACTTTTAATTTTATCAATTATGACACTAAACTTTGATTTTTGTTTCAATTATATCACTGAAACATTCAATCACCCGCTGCAGTTGCTAGTGCTCGAACCTGTGACTTATAGGAACAACAACGATTGTTTTAACTACTAAGATAAGTTGATTCGTGCTTTATAGATGTATTTTTGAAATTATAAATCTATAAAGGATAAAATCTATTTTATCTTAAAAAAATTTAATATATCAGCTCGAATTTTTTATGTAAATAAAAGCTAAAAGAGAAGCAAATTACACAACAAAAAATAAATAAATGTTATCTTTATCAGTCGAAATATCGTTAAATCTAATATTGGAAAAATTAAACAAAAAATCAAAAATATGACCATAGATAAAGAAAAACGTGTCATAAAGACAAAAGAAATTATGCTAAATGTAGAATTTTTGAAAATTAATAAAACAAACTATGTGATATAAAAAAACCAACTAACAACGTTAAAATTAAGGGTAAATTGCACATTTAGTATATAAACTTATTAGTTTTGGTTCGTTTTATTACATAAACTTTTAATTTTTTTTCAAAACCATACATAAAATTTAGTTTTTTTCATTTTAGTACTCCATTCAAAATTTAACGTTAATTTTTGAAAAAATTGAAAGTTTAGGTACTAAAGCATACAAAAACTGATAATTTAGTTACAAAACGCGTTATGTCACACCCCAAAATAAGGCTTCAAATTCTCTTAAAAAATTTAGGACTAAATTGAATTTTGATTTAATTTGGTGGCCAAAATGAAATTTTAATTAAATTGGATCTAAATTCATAAAGCAACTAAAGATGAAGGACATATGATATGATTTTGCTATTTTCTTTTTTTAAGTTTTATATAACCCCTGGAAAATTTTCAAATTATTTTATTTTCTCTATCTTCAATATTTTCCTCTTTTAGAAAAAAATCTTTTATCGTCATTTCGTCGTCGATCGTTGTTCTATTTTCGACACTTCCCGTACCATCGTGTTTCTTGTGTCGTCCCGAGTCCACCTGTGTCCTTCTTATCTCTGTTGTCGTCGACGTGTGATCGGGTGAGGAATATTAAGTTTTCAATATTTTGAAATAGAGCTCTCCGTCGTTCATAATTGTGAACTGAGTTTAGAGTCTCAAAACCCCTTAAAATACACTTAAAATTTTTTTTAAGGATTTTTCCAACCCCTTAGGCCAAGCACGTGGCCCCATGCGTCGACCCTACACGTGGGGAAAGTCTAGCGCCTGGTGGACTATTTGGAAATGGGTCGATCCGACCCGACCCACTAACCCAACTCGTCTATCTGACCCGGTCCATCGTTGACCATTGATCGGCCGTTGACTTTGGCCGTTGATCGGCCGTTGACTTTGACCAAATAGTCAACATTTTTGAAAAGTCATATTTTATGTTTTTCGACATCCTAAGTCTGATTCTGAAGTCCATTTTGCTAAATTTTAACCCAAAAGTCCCAAATTGATCCTGTTAATCCAAAATGCTTAGTGTTTTTAGCATTTTTGCTTAATTTTTTAGGATTTGATTATGGAATTGATTCGAGAATATATTTTTATGAAGATACTCGTATTTTAGCCGACCGAGGGTTGATTAGATCCAATATTTCCTGTCTGTCAGACCCACTCGATCTGTGTTCTACGAGAGTTACTCGTAGGTTTCCATAAATTGTTTAAATAAAGGTTAATATTATTCATATTTGGATTCCGATAATAGATTTTTTTATTCGTATTATCTAATGTTGCTGTTGATCGTGATCGACGGATTCAATAGTAGGCTTTCTTATTGATAACTTCCTAAAAAGGCTACTTTTAAGACATTTTTCACTTAAGTTATTATTAGTTTAAATGTTCATTTTAGTAATTTTAGGATCATGTTGTTGCATATAGTTGCATTAGTGGTGGTAGTGTTATTTTATTATGTAAAGGTGTTGTATGAGGGAAAGGTATGGTTGTTTATGTTGTGCAAGAAATAGTAAGCAAAAGGTTGCACTGGGAAGGAATGTCGTGACATCACACGTAGCTAAAGCAGATAGAAATGCCTTGGCATTTCTGGCGCATAAAAGGACAAAAATATATTTTTACAGAATGACAGCTGGCAAGGCACGTGTCTGATGGTTATAACCGCCTGTTGGGGACCGCTGCCACCTGGGAGGATAAGACTCACGCCCAAGGAGTGATTCTAGGGGTATGATGGGTAATTGGAGTGTTAAAGCCTATTATTACCCTTGTATATTATTTTTTTTATACACACCTCATATGAGAGAGAAAAGGAGATGGGGAATTGACCATCTTCAGCTAGATTTTATCACATTCTTTTCTGTATCCTTTTTTTCATTCTTGAGTGGTGTTCCTCTATTAACGAGCTCCAAGAAGTGGCGAGCTAAGCGTCTGAGAGGATCTTCGGTTGCGTGTGTCGAAGGCTTCTTCTCTATTCCCCTTGGCTGTTATTTTCTATTTGATATTGGGTTGTTCGAATAGATAAATTTCATGTTTTGTTTCATGGATGATTCAAACCCCACTATCACGATTCAAACCCCACTATGAGGTAACCTTATTTGGTGGGGTTGATTTTATGGATGTTTGATATTATTTTAATGGTAGATTTACATTTATCGTTTGCATTTACTTGTTTTGCTTATGAATGCTTCATCTTCTAAGTTTGTAGGAGGCATGAGAGTGTCCATTACTTAGATGAAGGCTAGGTGTTCGAGAGAAACTTAACTATTAATACATGTAGTATTCGAGAGAAACACAAGTAAGATCCACATAAGCAATGGGGTGTAGTATTTTCTTAAGCTTAGAATCGACATAGTAGTACTATATCCTAATCCCTTAGTGTTTGAGAGATACTAAGATAGGATTTCAACTACTAAGAGGGGTAGTTTTTATCAATAACATAGGCTGCCATAGTTGAGACTGAGAGGACATGTCATGGCATTCTATTCTATTAGGTTCCTTTGACTACAGATAGTGGGAACACTTTCAGTAAACTCCGTCGAGCAAGTGAAGCTTAGATAGATTAAATCTGCTTGAGAGGTAAGTTTTAGTATCCTTAAATCAATCTATACCATTTATTACCGTGGAAGCTTGTTGTGTGAGGATTATCAAAATATCATTTATTTATTGTTATTATCGTTTTTCATTGTCTTGACATTTCTATCACTTTCAAAATTATAATTTGCACTTGCCACTACATTTCCATTTGCTACCCAATTAAACTATCTATCCACACACACTTTTCATTGTCGTAACATTCTCCATTAGTACATATTATCACTAACTATACTTAGACATAGTAGTGCTTTGCTTTGGTTAAACTTTGTAATTTCTACCAATCTCTGTGGAGACGATACTCACTCATCACTTTATTACTTTTACGATTGTGTATACTTGCACATTATTTGCGTATAATTTTATAGTACTCACAACACGCAATACTTATAATACTACTCAGACCGGTACATATGTTTCATGTTGGTGTTACATTACTATTTTCAACTATTTGTCTGAATTGTTTGAGATTTCTGATAATACTGAATATGTTTACGACACAATACATGATTTTCTTAACAAAGTTTATCTGATATCTGATTTATTGTATGTTTCTGATATGATATCTGTATTACCGTATTTTCATATATGATTTTTGAAAATGGAATATTTTCATGATTTAATTGATTAAACTATCATATTCATTCAAATACATACATGATATTTCTTTCATTGGGGGTATTATTGGAGGAAGTATCTCAGGTCTAATCTATGACTTGTAAGGCCTTACTGTTTACCGTAGGCTCCTCGGCTTTGTGCTCAGAGTAAGTCCTTACTACAGACTCATCTGCTTTGTGCACAGGATAAGAACTTACCACATATTCCTCTGTTTTGTGCACATGGTAAGCCCTTACTAGGTGTATGGTTATGGGAAACTTACACATTCTGGTGATCGGACGGAGGTAGTGTTCATGTTTTTAAAATATGTTTGATAAACCGATTTTATTGAAATATGTTATATGTATGTTTTTATACATCGTAAAGAGCACACTGAGCCTTTTAGCTCATTTCGTATATTTTAACTTTTTAAGATAATAACAGACTATGCTAGCAGACTTGGCATCAGGAAGATCGAATACTTCTATTTTTGTACTACTGTATATCTATATATGCCTTTGTTATACTTTGGTGACATGTGTTTTGCTATCGTCTTGATATATTTGTATTACTAGTATTTTGTTTCATAAATGTTTTATATTGTTTTCTGATATATGTATATATATGTTTATTGTGTTTATCCTTATTATGGATAAATTTCATATTATATTGTTATATGGATTTTAACATTGTTTTAAATATAAAAAGAATCTTTGAATGTGATATGTGACCGCCTAGATTTGGGCATAACTTCCAGGCCGAGTCTAGGGGGTTACACGTTAAGTTTTTAACGGTTGGATATTAAAATAAAATAAAAACTAAACTTTAAGTATGGTTTGAAAAGAAAATTAGCTACTAAAACACACCAAAACTGCTAGTTTAGATGCTAAATGTGTAGTTTACCCTACAATTTATGTTATCACTTGTCAAATAAGTTTTACAAAAAAAAATTCAATCGTGTTCTTTTAAATTTTGAATTAATAATGGAAGCAATCCAAATTACAATGTATCAGAAAAAAGAGAAATTTAGAGACAATAGTCACAAAAATACTCATACAAAAGTAAATAATAAACCTAAAAATATGAAGAAAATTAAAACACTGTATTGAGAATGACGACATCAAAATCTAATAACCTTCAAACAAACTCCTTATCTCTGTAGAATGAGACGCTTGGTGT